GTACAGTTCGCGTCAATTCGGTACGAATTCGCAAAATAAGGGTAAAACGCGAATTGTTGCATCATTTTTACGCTTAAAAGTTGCGATTCGTCAATTCGTCTTTAGACACTTTGTCCACACATCTCGGTCGGGTCGGAGCAGGCCGAACTTAGAATTTTTAAGCATGCGTGGATTTGTAATTGTGTGATTTTCGGCCTTTTTAACCGAAAATCACCATTTTTGACGGGTGGAGGGTGGCTCTTAATATTCACTGACTGATAGTATTTATCACACCAATTTTTCTAATTTCCTTAAAAAAAACCATTGCCGCGAGATTCAGTACAACCGATAATCTACGTTTCCATTTACTTTAGAGATTATCGAAAGCCATCTAATACCAGACTTGAGACTCTCAGAAAAACTGATACCACGCCTAAAACTACAAAGATTGAACCTACTGATCAAGATATTGTATATAGCTTAGTTTATAAGAAATCCGATGATATATGACAAAATGTACATGTTTCTTTATTAGTGTCGATTTTGAAGTTCTGCACTTACCAGTTTGTAACAAGTTTCATGAGCTCCAAAATGATATGTAATAGAAAAAAATGTTTTCTTGTTTGAGAGAAAAAGAGGCCATACAAGTGAGAATCGTCTCCTATATCTATATATGTAGGATATTCTAACTTATATTTTTGTTTTCTCATAAAATATATACTTTGTCTTCGTAAAATTTATTATTTACAATCGTTTAAAATGTAGTGTGTACAGTAGATGTTAAAACTGTAATGTGACCATTCTTAAATATATTTGAAGAATAAGAATTGAAGAAAATTTTACGAAAACAAAGTATATATTTTATGAGAAAACAAAAATATAAGTTATCCGACTTCGTATATTAACAAAGATCCTATTCTACTTAAAAAATTATTCTAACCGTTGTACTGTTATCAAAGCACTGTGGTTCACTGTTATGTTACATACATTCTACGAAGAATTTTAGAGGCTATCCAATGATATATTTATTTTATCCTCTATGTGAAAAAAAAACACATTTTACGTAACCTATAACTGATCTTTGAGAGATGACTTGTTGGAGCCATATTAACGAAGAATAAGTCGGATTTTAGTTTTCAAAAGTACGTGAAATTACTTAAGTTAAAAAGGATTGAAAATACTTGTCTACTATTTACAGAACTGTTCTTAGACAAAAAATAAAATTGGACCGAGTCTCACCGTTATGCGGCCCCCTCCATTGTTCTTTTTCGTTTTTTCGTTGAAAGGTGATAGTATGTTTCTCTTTTATATATTTTTTTTTTTGTTAACATGGCGTCTCGTGAGTAAATATAGATTAAATGCTATATGAAGTGATAGAAAGAATCCTTGTTACTCTATTCTCTACATATAAATATTAGTCACTGATAATGTCACATAGTAAATATTAATGAAATTGCAATAAATAACCAAACATATTTAGTATTGTGAAGATAGACGACGGTGTTCTCAACTTGGACAAGTAGAGTAAAAAAAAAATATATTGATAAGTAAATAGAATAATAATTATGGCAACAGATCAAAGCAAAAGTGATCATATTTATCCAACGTATCAGCATTCTCCGGGATATGGTACACAACCACCACCACCATATTATAGTCAAACAACGGGAATGTATCCTGGTCAAACAACGGGAATGTATCCTGGTCAAACAACGGGAATGTATCCTGGTCAAACAACGGGAATGTATCCTGGTCCACCAATGGGACATACACCTATTATTATGGCACCAGTTTATCAACGACCAATTCCTACCGCAATTTTATCACCGATTACACCATCGCTAAAATTATTCTTCATTCTTAGTGGTATTTTGTATATTTTGCTAGGTGTTCTTGGTTTTGGGTTAGAAATTGGTTTAATTACAAAGGGTTATTCGAGTAATTATCGTGGATTTTGGGCCGGTGGTTTTATAATTGGATGTGGTATTAGTATGTTGATTGCTGCATGTAAACCATATTATGCGATGATTCGATTAGTTGTCTCGTTTATAATTGCTGTATTTTTTATCGTAGCTGCTATTATACTTTCAATTGTGAATTTGGAATTGGGTGATTACTGTTATCTAAGTTGGTATTATCATTGTGATCCAAAAACAGGACGATTAATTAAAATTGTTATCTTAGTTGTATTTATTGTGTCATTAATTCAAACAATTGTCAATCTTGTTGTTGTGTCGACAGTACAAAAACGAAACCGTAGGTCAGCACAAACAACTTCTCCATAAAATACTGAACACAATGATTAAGGGGCCATTTATTTGTATCTTTTTTTACCAATTACATGTAATATTCTTCATAAATATAAACATACACTGTAACCAATTTCTCTTTGTTTTGATTCTATTTGATAGTTTCTTTAACATCACTACATCACTATTTAACATCTTATTTTGAATATTTTCTGATTATATTAAGTTTGAAAATGTTCTTGTTCGCACGGTATCAATCTTCTATGCACATTTCTCATTAAAATTGTTTCCTGCACATGAACAGAGAGTAATTTGTGACCATTGATTGAATTAATCGCAATGAAACCTGCGCGCAACAGTAAAGTATATCTATAGAAAGATGTTGTCAACGCTCACAAACTTATTAGTTTAGTTTCTTATGTAGCATAATCGTTCAATGAAGCTCGCATTCTTCGCTCTAATGAAAATAGAAAATTTTGACTTTTTACCCTTATAGAATAACTTTTAAAACTTCGTCCTAGTCTTAAAAATAGTAAACTCTATCAAAATATATTATTGTGACCTGATAAGTAGTCTGTTTTCAAAGCGAACTTTTCTTTTATGTATTTAATCATAAAAATAATCACCTAGATACAAAAAGATTCAGCTTTCCAAGCTCTACACACTCCTATGAATCAAATCAAATAATAATATTTAGTTTTTTTTACAACAAACAGAGTAAATTAATTATGGTTCTCTATGCAAAACAAAAAGTCTGAAAAATTAGACATACGTTATTTTTGTTGTATACGATTTAGAAGGTGTAGGTTGTATTACAAAATCTTTTGCAGAATGTAAGGAATTCTTTGCATTTGCTGTCGGTATGCTTGGTTCAAAAAGCCATAGTTCAGTGTTGAACCGGGCCAACTGACCGGCTCGGTCCAGTGTAAAAGTTCAGACCGGTCGTTGCCCGCCGTTCTGTTGTTGGTCTAGAAAAATTTTCAAAGCGGCCGGTATCGACCGATTTTTTGCCATTTTTAGAATTTTTAGCATTTTTCTCGTCTTCATTCAAAAGAAACTTGATAAAACAACTAAGAGAAATAAGAAAAGACTAGTGAAGACCACGTTTTCCTTAAAGATATTTAGTTTTACTGATAAAAGTTCTCAACCGGCCGGTTTTTTTTTCAGGTTTTCGCCATGCCAGTTACGGATTGAGCATTCTCACTCAGAAAAAATTAACAATAAAATCTATATCTGATCTTTATCTAATTTCCTGCTCTACCGGTCTAGAAAATTTCTGATAACCGGCCGGCTTTTTACCGGTCTACCGGATGCAACTCTGCCATAGTCTCAGAATGGAAAAAATCATGTTAAAAGAAAGATAAGGTAGTTTTAGGAGGATTTTACTATTTCGAAAGTTTAAAAGAAAACATAAATACGTATTCCAAACGATATATATCATTAAATACTAGACAAAAGTTTGCATCATTTAGGCCGAGAATGAAATATTCAAAAGTTATTTACTAAAAATGAAAAACTCAAAAAAATGCTACTCTGCATTCCTTACTCTGCACATCGAAGGACTGTAGTTTTCCTACGATAATGCTTGATGCTGCTGATCATGAATCTGATATTCATTTGGGCTTATGAGGGTTTTAACTATCTGTCTCTGAAGATCTATCCTATAGTCTTCGTTTAGCAACCTTTGATACTACCAGTTTGTTGAGTAATTCGAAAGTTTCATATATGAAAAAGTGTTTATATCTACCGAATGAGTTTTTCGTGTACTGTTGTATCTCGGTGTTTGCATCTATTTTGGAAGTTTGTTTGACGTAAACTGTTAACCTCAGTAAAAACTTATTTGGTAGATGTAAACATTTTTTCATATATAAACCGCTTGAGTTACTCAACAAACTGGTAGTATAGACTGTAAAACGAAGACTGAGATAGATCGTCCGAGACAGATAGTCGAAATCTTCATGGACGCAAATGAATATCAGATTTATGATCAGCATCAAGAATTATTGTAGCAAAAATTAGTCTTAACTACAAACGTTTTAATCACCTTAAAAAGTGCCCTCGTCAGTTGTTCAAAGTGGCATAAGATATGTAGAACTAGTCTTAAAATCATAGAAACGCTCATGAACTGATTTGTCATTAGCAGAGTAAGAGATTTGTGTTGTAAAATACACTTCACTTTATTAATGTGGTATGACCGTTTTAGCTCGATTTACTTTGCATTGAGAAAAAAAAGAGAGCAGGACAAAATACAATGGTGAAAAAATGTCGATGTATTCATTAGTCGTCTTATCATAGAAAAGCATATTTTTCGGTTTTTTTTCTCTACTACCTCGTCTATGTTTAGAGGTACTATAGGGTTAGGCCGTGTATTTTCGGTTCTGTTTTCTCACTGTATAATGTGATGATCATGAAGAAAGAAGCGAATAATGAGTATATAAATATATAAAGAAAGAGAAAAACTAGAGTAGGATATATATAAATGTAAATATGTATAAGTAAATGTATGTATGTACCATCTGTACACCCTATACATATAGATATAAGGTGCCAAATTGATTTTAAGCCATTTTTTGAACAATATATCCTCGTGAAAAAAAATAGTTGCACACAGTATTTTTAAGATATTTTCCTTACGAAAACATACTTTTACAAAAGTGATCCCATATTCTGGTAGCGCTTGAAATTCTCTACAATTCTGTATATTTATATCTTGTCTTGCATTTATTTGCTGAAGAACAAATAGTGTACAACGACGGCCCGCACATTGTCAAATTCCCACGGACTGCATTTTGTTACTATTTCTTCAACTTGCTTTTTAAATTTATCATCACTATAGAAATTGCCTTTTATAAAAGTAATTATATATTCTGATAGCGTCTAAAATTCTCTATCATTCTATGTATTTATGTCTTGTCTTACATTTATTTGCTGAAAAATAATTTGAGTACAGCGGAGGTATCCCCAATTGACAAGTACCAAAAAGATGCATTTTTTCGCTACTTTTCTAGTTTTTTCCACACCATCTGTTCTAAAAGATATTTTTACAGACCACGAGAAAGCACATTCAGAAGTACAACAAGAACTGACTTCTCACTTTTGCAATCCCTTTTTTACGAAAATAGTAGCAAAAGAAAAAGGTTCAGGTGGAAACAAATAACAGATTTTCAATATTTTCATTTTTTTTGTATAATCTGCGTAGTTTTCTTGATTGAACCTCTAAAATTAAAGGTTAGGTATGTTTTTGTAGAGCATTTCGCGGCGCATCTTTTTAAAAAACCATTAACCTTTGGGTCCTAAAGAAACACGAGAAAAATAGAAAATATTGAGATGTCACACTCATTACAATTTCTGGGAATCTGACGATGAGGGGGTCGTCATTGCACTCAATGTATTTTTCAACAAATAAATGCAAGACCAGATCTAAATATACAGACTTGTAGAGAATTCCAGGCTCGATCAGAATATGTGGTCATTTTTATAAAACTATATTTTCGTAAGGAAAATATCTTAAAAATACTGTGTGCAACTATTTTTTCACACGAGGATATATATACATTCTTTTCTACGTGCATTTATGAGAAAATGTCATAAATGAAGCCCTCACAAACATAAATTGCATATCAACATGGATTTAATACGAACAGTATCTGAAAAGGGCACACCAGCGATATCATTTGATTCAAATTTCATATGCTCCACAACCAAATCATAATACATACAAATATCACAGTTTGAAGAATGCTTTCATGGAAGAGAAAATATATTCGGAGAAAAGTGATGCAGAATCCAAATCATTAGGTAAGCAAATACAAAGTGATTACTTCATATAAACTAACTACTTACTGTTTCTGAATAAAATCGAGCCCTACTGTATAGATAAGATATCTTTCCAGAGCTTCAAATTCAGATGTGAGATATTTTTTCTTCTTCTCTCGCTATATATCTAATGCTCCGAATTTCATTCTTACATTTTATTTCGTTTAGTTGTGAATCAATATGACTATTACCGTTGCAACAACGACTATGGAGAACTATGTCATATGGCTTTTGATTGAAGTAAATTTAATTGGTGGTACAATATTTGGGTTCCCAGGTTTATTTAACATTTTATCTCAATCTGGAATTTATGGCGATATGAATAATTGTTCAGCATTATCAGTGAATGCAACGGAAACAGGAGGTCGAGGGTCATCTTGTGAGGGACATCAGACACGATAATATCAAGTATGTCTGTGTATGTCAGATCAATCGTTTTGGGGTCTATGTGTGTAATTGATTTTAGAATGCATTAACGTTGGGTATTATATTATTAGAAATACCATCAATGATTATTGGTCCAGTGATTGATCGGTTTGGATGTCGATTTGTTAAATTAATTGCAATGTAAGTAGTATCCGTTTCTCGTCTTTTATATTCTCAGATCCAAAAAATATTCTGCGCTTTTTTAGAATTTTTCATATTATCGGATGGTTGGCATTAGCACTGGTTGCACCTGGTAAGTGTGTGTGTATGTATAAGCATTATATATTGTTAATGTTTTTTTAGGGCGAAATTCATTTTTATATGTTCACACAGTCTTCTCATCCTTGGCTGGTATTATCGTTTTATTGACAGCTTATACATCAAGCGATTATTTTTCAAAATCAAGAGCATTCGTATCGGCATTATTTGCTGGAGCGTGTACATCCGCTACAATGTGGTATTCTATATTTCAGGTATGTCGCAAATTTTTTCTTCCAAGATGGAAAAGTTGGATTTTATTCAACAACTTTCTGTTTTGATAATGGATGGAGTATGATATCCGTTTTACTAGGTTTCAATTGATGCTGGTAAAATTACATTACAACAACTACCTTACATATGGACGTCATTTGGTGTATTAATGTTAATCAGTTCATTTGTATTTCTTGATTGGAGATTCCCCATTTTAAACTTACCCTATCAGTTCGATACAAAATTGGGCAAGAAAACTGTCCTTCCACGTATCATTGCCGGTAAGTTAATTTGAGAAACATCGTTTCTTGTACCTCCTATATATTTTCTCTCTGTCTAGGCGAAGATCAATCATCGAACAATAGTGAAATAGATAAAATGAAATGGCATACACGAGTTTTGAAACGAAAAGGTGTTTGGTATTATTTGACAAGTCCATTGTATTTGTTGGTGGTACTGTTTTTAAGTATTCTATTACTACCGGGAATTTTTCTTGCTGTGACATGGTATCCATGGGTGTATTATATCACAAAACAAGATACAATATTGAGTGAGTTGTCAATCTTTCTACTTGACTAGAATGAGCGTTTCTCTACTATCACGGTGAGATTTATGTAAAAAACCTTGTTAGGGGCAGCCCCCAATGGGGCTAGAAGGGTGAAACTCCTTTAACACCTTCAAACAGATTGACAAATTTGTAGAAATAAGCGTTTAAAAGATATACAAAGTGCGCCTGAAATTGTGAATCCTGTAAAATGTTTTATAAACGAAAACAGAACTTTATTGACATTCAATTTTCGTTTTATAAAGAGTTCATTTAGTCAGTTTCAACAGAACAAACTCTAAGAGGAATATAGCAACTAATATGTTGGATTAAGTGTAATCTTACTTCAGCTTACAAAGCTTTTTTAAGCTAGACATATCATCCTGACTAAGAGAAGTTCTTGCACTACATAACCGTCTAATCTGGTGTTTTCTATTTTAGCTAATAAATACACATTTGCATTTAACTTATCCACTGTTGCTGCCATTATTATTTGTCCGTTGAATGGTTTCCTACTTGGATTGAAAGCTGATAGAAGTAAGACACCACCTTTTTGTTACGTCTAAAATTTGCATTGTCTAACTGTTCAGGTAAAAAACAAAAATTATTTAATATTTTATTGATGCAAACTGTATTATGGCTTATCAATATTGTGGCATGTATTGTGTGTATGTTTCCTCGAAAGAGTATGATTATTCCAGCATTAGTGATCAATTGTTTTGCACGGGCTACAATTGTGGGTGGAAGTCAAGCAGTGGTGGCCACTTTGTACGTATTACGTACAATACTTACGGCGGTCGTGTTAGCCTAGATTACGTAGAAAGTTGCCAATATCAGAGATAATCTCTGATTGTGAGAGAAAAATCCAGGAACTTGGAAGTCTGACACGTAATGTTAGAGAGACTAACAAAGAAAAATAATTACGTTCGATCTTTTCTTTTCTCCTCTGTCTTTTAGTCAGAAGAAGTGTTTCAAAAGAAAGAAAAAGTTAAATCTCGGAAGTAACCTTGAGGGTAGAAAATCGACTAAATAACAAATCTTTGATACCCTCTCGAAATCTCTCGTTCATTTGAACAAGTTTCCTCAATCTTGTAAATATTTCTTTGTCTTTGTTTTAGTTTTCCATCGGAGTACATTGGCACATTAACTGGTGTAATATGGACCTCGGTTGGTGTTATTACCACCGTCCAATATAGTTTAGTCAGATTAACAGATGATATACCTCGTTCATGGAGAGTGAGGCTTTACTACGTCTTTCGTCATCATTTTGTAAAATAATTTTCTCTGTTTCAGGCGTGGGTGATTGTAATTATACTTGTGGTATTCATGTCATGTCATCTGGTTCAACTATGGTGGAAATATGTGAGAGAGTTGAGAAAGAAATCAACGACAACTGTTGAAAAAGGAACCAAAACAAAATTTTATAACGACAATCGATTGTATTTAATCTCATAATTAGCTGTTTTTACTTAACCTGGTGTCATCGTTTATTTATTTCTCAATAAATTTGAAAAGTTTCAGTTATTTTTGTTTAGATTTAATACCTTCTAAACTCGCTCTCCGATGACATCTTCGAATACATTTACTCTCTGTCCGTCTTTCCTTAGGTTCATCTACAATAGCCTTAACAACGAAACCATCATCTACATCATTTATAATAGAAAAGTCTACATTTACTAATCAAACATTTTTTATTTCCCCATTTCAAACCAAACGTTTACCTTTTCTTTTATTAAAAGACACACTGCACTTTTCCCTTTGTGGTAAAAAGAGACTGTCCGTTGAAACACATGGAGTTTTAATGAGTGAATCGCTGTTTAGTAATTTTAAGAAATGATTATTGTCCGTTAAAAAAGAATGGTGCGCATGGCTATTTTTCTAATAGCCTTTGATAGAAAAGAGGTAGAGGCCTGCCGTTTTTAGGATTTTGTAGCTGACACCTGATGAAACTGTTCTAAAAAAACCGTCCCGCAGGCTACCTGCAGGTAGTGCACTATATTAGTCGTTTCACTTATACATTTGAATACGAAGTGAGATATTTTGCTAAGCAACGAATAGTTGAGAGAAAACTTCGACACGTTTTCCTATTACCTAAATAGGCAGATGAGGACATATGGGTGGGTAAAAGTATAAAATCGACATTGATAGTCCATGTTTTTCTTTATAACAAACAATCGAAGACATAACAACCATCACAAAAATAGATCTATTTCTTTAAGTTTAGAGTATCTTTACTGTGAGGAAGGTGCCAATAATCACGCATAGATAGACCGGATTAATTAACTTCGTCGATGAATTTTCAATTTCAATAAAACTTGCATTCCAAATACCTGGTCTTAACATAACTTCATTATCCCCTGGCCATGGTGGCATTGTAATAGCCACTGCCACGAAAGTTTTTCCTCCAATTGTACGAAATTGAAACTGTGTACCAACCGGTATGGTAATACATACATTAGCATCAACTGTTACAATTTCTTCCCTCTCTCTCTGTTTACGCCAAAATTCACCTTCACCAGATAGGAAGTACCATATTTCATAAACACTTCGATGTTCAACAGCATTCGATGTCATCCCAGGGAGAAGATCAAATTGCGCCATACTACCACCAATTGTTGTTAATAAATTACGAACTAGGGAACCATCGGGTGCGACGATATCGGGATCAAATCTTGGCACAAATTGAATTGTTTACCAAAAAAGGACAATATCCAATTGGGATTCATACCCTTGCAAAAAACGTAAGTACACTCTCACTTGCAAAAGCTAGAGATGTTGGGAAAAGTATTTTTTTGAGGATCTTATTACTGACGAAAAACTTTAAATCGCATTTCATCTGTGACATATTTTTTGATCTTTTTTTCTAGTTGGACGAAGAAGTGGCCTTGGCACATTTGGACTATTTAGGCATCAAATTGGACAAACTGACACAGACACAATCAGCGTATATCGATGTACATCCAGATGGTCCATTCAAACCTGAATATTATCGTTATTAATCACGTATTCACGATCTATAAACTAAATAGTGACAACAAACTCTATATTTGCTTGATGCTATGTTTCTTCGCAGCTTTATCTTAAGTTTTTTGGTTGAATAGATTTTATTGTACAAACACAATAGGAAATAATAAAAATTCTAAAAAAAAGTTCTTATTTTCCCTCTTTTACCCCAATAATTGTTAAATTTCATAATTGAATGTCCTCTCTCTATTCGTTTCAGATTATCGTATATGATATAAGTCCGAAACTGACCTGTTGTCAGATACAATAGTTTACAATGTTAATCAATATTATTATTATTTTCAATACGTTGTGCAATATACAATTCACCAGTCAGATATCAGTACAAAGCACTCTTAATGATCAATTTATCACATTCACTCCTACTCCAGTCAATCAATATCAAGGAAGTTCAGGCGAGCTTGACCATAACGTCAGGATCGATCGCTCATAACGATGGTTTTTCTATTTTTTTATAGTTCGTACAATAATTACAGATGATCATATTACTGCAATATTAGACAAGCTTGGTAAATACCTCTTTCTGTTCTTTCGATGACATCTACGAATAACATTTACTCTCTGTCCGTCTTTCCTTAGGTTCATCTAGAATAGCCTTAACAACGGAACCATCATCTACGCCATTCATAATAGAAAAGTCTACATTTACGAATCAAACATCTTTTATTTCTCCATTTCAAACCAAACGTTTACCCATTAATCCCGATATCGTCGCACCCGATGGTTCCCTAGTTCGTAATTTATTAACAACAATTGGTGGTAGTATGGCGCAATTTGATCTTCTCCCTGGGATGACATCGAATGCTGTTGAACATCGAAGTGTTCATCGTGCAGAGCAAACATTTCCGTCGCACATTAGAGTTCTCTCAGCTCTTTACGACATTTATTCATAGAACAGGACTTGGTTTTCTGAAATTTTGGTTACATTTTGTAAGAGTCAAACGAAGCACTTATTTTGAACTCTGCTGAACAATTTTTCATCGAATCATGTTCATTGTATTTTTCGGTTACAGCCAGAATAGATAATTGGAAGAAGATATCTGCATCACTCATTTCAAATGCAACACGACTCGTAAACAGCTGAGTTGTAATTCAACTATCCATTTGGTTACTACTGTTGTTTATTTTATTACAAGCTACTGTTTTAATATTTCGAAAAACCAAATAGAATCTTTTCTGATAAGTGACATTGTGTTCATTAAGCCGCTTTCTTGACATTTGGCCTCAGCGTCTGGTAAGATCAATTTATACTCACTTATAACTGTCAGAACTTAAAAGTCGTTCTCTTAGCTAAAAGATGTTATTGCTAAGACATATACTCCGAATAAAAAAGACTTGGTAGGACGTCTTTTTTTCTCGTAGGAATGCCTAAAACTCTGCGGAATTTTTGTCATTTTCTCAATGGGTTATTATGTTTTGAGTACATACAAAAAATCAACTAGTCTAGACGGGGTTCGATATGCAAATTAAGACATTTCGATGCCTTCAATATTGCCGTATTGTACTAATCAGCGTGTCTTAATTTACACACGAAAAATACATTCATTTCCGACTAGTTCTATTTTCCTTCTTCCTTACTTCTGCGTTTTCTTTATCACGTGGTTTTTGAATTTCTATATATAGTTATTCTTTCATTTTTTCACACTTGTTTCCTGATGATGACATTAGTAGCAATGTCGAAAGCTCGAAATCGATAATAAATTAATGAGATTTTGTTAAAATCTATAATGTATTTCGTACATTGATTTCGTAGCAGTTCTATACAAAATATTCTATACAGTTTTCACTACTGCTCTTCCACCAACCTATGGAGAAAGGTACTTTATGTAGAAACTTTGTATAGAGCATCAAGCTTTGAAATGACTTGAAAGTTTCAAAAATAGCTGGATGAAACTAACATTCATCGTTTGTCTTGCTCCTAGCATCTAGATATATTGAGCAAATGCAGGCGGATTTAGCACCACGAAAACTGTTCTATACATCAGCTAAAATGTTTAGTTATTCTGACTAGAACGCTTATCGGACTGTGCACGTAAAAGTCCACTTTTCCGTAAGTCGGTCACGTTTTGTCAAGATTATAGTTCTGCGAGAGAAGCTCTCACAGAGTTCGGAGACGTCTCATTTTAAAGAGCAAACATTTTTCTTCAAAATGGTAATTAAGTGAACGCTAGTAGTTACCACTGCGGCCATATACAGACTGGAAATTGAATGCCTTATTCGCAAAATGTGGCATCTGCTTCAAAAACTTTATCTTGAAATCTATTCAGTTATCCACGTTTGCTGGATTATTATGTTAAGCAAAAATGTTTGCTCTTCAAACCGGGACGTCTCCAAGATCTGTGGGAGCTTTCCTTTCAGAACCACAATCCTGACAAAACGTGACTGACTTACATTTTTTGGCTGGTGCGCTTGGACAGGCCGTTATCGTAGATTTAAGAGAGATTTAAGTGTACGCACCACAAGCCTTAAGAGTACAGGGAATAAAGAGAGAAACTGTGGCATATTTAGTGATACTATTTGAACGCAGTACAACGCTACAGCTTCAGAGAGAAAGCACAATGAGTATTATCTTAAAATGAAAATAGAAACATAGAACAAAGTGGACGATACCATTATAAGTATCTGGCTTCTTTTCTGATTCCAGTCAGAATAACTAGACATTTTAGCTGATGTATAGATCAGTTTTTGTGGTACTTAATCCAGCTGTATTGCTCAATATATCCAGATGCAAGGAGCAAGACAAGTGATGAATGTTACTTTCATCCAGCTATTTTTGAAACTTTCGAGTCATTTCATAACTTGATGCTCTATCCAAAGTTATAGCTACGTTTCTGAAATATAGCATAACTCTAGCTTCTAATAGAGCAGAACTTTGACCGATACATGCACGATTTCCAGCTCCAAATGGCAGATAACAATATGAATGAGCTAACTTTTTCCGTTCACCATTACTATCCTTCCACCGAGTATAGTCAAACTTTAATGGATTTGGCCAGTAATCTGAATATTTATGTAAAGCATAAGTATTCACATTGAATGTTGTTCCTTCATAAATTTTTATTTTATCATCTCCATGACCAATTTCATTATCAGTCACACAATCGCGTCCTAGTAATGGCGCTGGCGGATATAATCTTAACGTTTCATGTAATACACTATCAATAACTTGTAAGTGTTTTAATGATTCATCTGTTGGTAATTCTCCATTTAATACTCTGTCAACTTTTTCAATACAATCATTTAATGCATCATGATTTGTTAATAAACAGTATATACACCAACTCATTAAATTACCAGTTGTTTTATGACCGGCCACGATAAAAGATAAAGTTTCTTGTTTAATTAAATCATTACTAAATGAATGATCTTGATCATCTTTAATTGGAAATAGTAAATCTAATAAATCGGCTTTTTCAGTCGGCTGGTGTAGTTAAACCTTGTTTACGATCATGTATTAATTGATTAGCAAGTTGGTAGCACATCTGATATATATCGATCTAATTCAGATTTATCAAAAAATGGTACTGAATTAATGATTGGAAAAAATGGTAATAATTTGGTTGCTCTCTGTTGTGATATTTCAAAATAGCGATTTAATGAATTATACATAGTCATTGAAGCATTTGGTGAATTGTAAACTTTTTCCAAATGCACAATTTACAATAATACATAATATTAATTGAGCAAACTGTTTATGTATTTCTTTGATGGTAAATTTAGTATCTGATATTGAGCTATTTATTTTATTATTCCACTCGTTTAATAACATATCAGTCTGTTTAACTATAAGAGAAATCATGGAATGTAAATTAACAGAATGAAATAGTGGTGCAATAAGTTTTCTATTTTTACTATGCAATGGATCATTTACTACTAATATCGTATTAGAGTCTACTAAGGGACTTAATATGTATTTAGATAATCGAACACGAGTTAAACATGAATTATTTGTTTTAAATAGACATTGGTAATAATCAGCATCGTATATAAATAAACGAGGAAAAAGTGAAAAATATGTAAAATAAATTTTTCCATATTTATTCATCATATCAATAAATTCTGCCATTTGACGATCTTGTTTTACATACATTTTCGTCTGTTTTACACCATTAATTAATGGTATAAATGGTGTGACTGGAATGCCTTGAGTCATGTAACGTGGACGTAAACGATATGATTTTAGTATTAAGTAAAGTAAATAAAGAAAAGGAATTAATATTGTGTAATAATTGTTAAAATCATTTTAACTTTAAATTTTAACAACAAAAGTTGATTTACTCTACGTGATACTTTCGTCATTGCCCAAAGTTTTGTCTGACTCTCGCCAATAACCAAAGTTTTGTGTGATTTTCGGCAATTGGCCAAAGTTTTGTGTAACTTTCGTCAACTGACCAAATGCCGCTTTGTCTCGATCATTGATCAGGCTGTAGCTGTACTTTTACCGTAACATACAGATCTTCAACAAAGTCGAAAAAGGAGCCTTTTTGCGGGAAATTTTAGTCAACTGTCGAAGGTACAACCACAGTCTCATCAGTGATCGAAGTAAGGCGAATTTTGGT